CTGTCTTGTGCAAAGGTTAAAGGTCAGAACAGACAATCTGAAAAACAGCAATTTTGAACTGACAGAAAATTGCTTATGTTCTGTTCATTCTTTTGAAGTGTGTTTTTTCCTTATGCACATTGTAAACAGAAATTAGGCTGTAAATAAAATCAAAGTGCACAAAGTTGTGATTCCTGATGCTGTACTTTGTAATGCCATCTAAAGCCAAGTCTGTCCATTTATCATCTAACTTCTTAATTAGGTTTAACATAATTAGTTGTATCTTTAAAATTCCTGCATTCCTGAGGGGTGCACATTAGGAATGCACAAAATGGCTACTTCTATAAACCACATTGTTATATGAAGATACCTTTCATTTGGAAGTATTTCTTGGCACTAGAACTCAATGAGGACGTTTAAAACATTTTGTATATTATTTAAAGTCACTTCTGCTAAGAAATGGAGGAACACCGCCTGAACTTATGTAAACTTTGTTCTCAGATGCATCGATGTAACCTAAGACAGAATTTACCCATTCCTTATAAAGTTACTATAAACAGTACTTGTTGACACAATAAGGTCTGTGACTATACAAGTCTTGCTAAGTTACAACATGTACTGTTAGTACACTACATCTTTTAAGCTTGCTAACATTTGTTTGTTTAAAACAGCATTATTTGGTTAATAAAACTTTCAAGATTGATATACAATAAAGTTGAAACCAATGCTTTTAATTTTTATTTCCAGGTCTGAAGTAGAGAGTACAAGTTTGTGTATGCTTTCTTATCAGTATTACATGGCTGAAAGCTGTCAGCTGTTTAGATGTCATGTTAATAAATATGCCCAAATCATAAAGCTTTAACTGTATTTGCACATTGCTTTTATTACTATACTGTTTTATTCATGTTGGCACAGATAATCCATGCAAGGTAGTTACTCACACCTCATAAACCACACTACATTCTGTTTCTGAAATAACTAAGAACTTAGGAAAAAAGCAAGGGCACTTGTGGCCTCAAGTCAACCTGTCAATATATGATAAAACCTAGACTTCTAATATGATCACTGCAGGCAAGAAATCACTCAGTTTCAAATTCTGCTGTTTATAAATACTAAACAAATTAATATCTACTACCAGGAGACAAGTATTGCAAATAAACATTAGCATGCCCAGCATTAGACACTGATGAGTGTGTTCAGTGCTGTGGACATTCACATTATTAAACATAAATACAAATAATCTTTAACAAAACATTTCACCCAAAGTACTGACCACTGAAGGACCAAAGGAAAATATTTTCCTTGTTCTGAATTGATTTTAGAAATGTGTAATGTGTAAATCCAATATAGTAGAAACTAACTTCTAAAAAAAAAAGTCCTAAGAGTGGTTTTTTTTTCTAGTTAATGAAAGCAGTCTTCTCTGGAAACATTAAATTTACCCTGTTCTACAAAAAGAACAGAAAAAGAGAAAAAGCATTAAGATAATTTTTGAAACCTTTGACTGAAAAGTTATTGAACACTTTTTAATTAGAAAAAAGACTGGTCTTTTAATTTGGTCATTCTGAGGTACAGTATCTTTGTTTTATTATGTAAAACCCACATTAATTAGAATGAAAACAAATATTTAGAACTTAGGACTTGTCCCAGGCATCTATTACAAGACATAAAACATAAACAAGTACACATTATTCATCTTGCATATTTTTGTACAGCGTTTATGTTCAGTGATAGTTGAAAGGCCCTATTCTGAGTTTTTATATATATCTATATATATATCTGTGCATCTTTTCCCCCTCCATATCACAAAGGTGACGTGTGGCAGAAGAGTATCAGCAGTTATGTGGTATTCTACCCCTGTGAAAGTTAAAATACTACATTATTCTTCACAAATTTCTGGTTCAGATATGTGCAAAAATTATATCTTAATATAGATATCAAGGGTGGGTAAGTGGATTCCCTATTTTTGGACCTCATTATGAAGCAGCACAAGTCAAAACAGGAAATTTATTACATGATAATCCTCAGGGTATCTCTGTTCTTCATTCAGAGATATCACTGTACCTCATATAGTGATATGTAAACTAGCTTTAATCTCACTTGCTCAGACACCAGCTGGAGTCAAGGCATGTGTTATAGTGCAGGTTATCTGCCCAAGGAAATTTTCAGGACTCTCTCAAGTTAGTATGGCTCCCACTGAAAAGGAAATTTTCAGGACTCTCTCAAGCTAGTACGGCCTCCACTGAAGTTTGTGCTGCTGTGTTTTCACTGTTGCAACTCCGCAAGCTAGCACAGCTGTGCTTACATACATTGCATTCACCTTCCTGCAGTACCGACTTCAAATTTACTAGATTGGATCCTGTATACCCCTTGCTCACCCCTTCTATACATATTTATACTACCTCTCTGGACTATTGTGAGCTACTTGTACCCTAATTTCTTGCTTCAAGCCCTTTCCCTGACTGTAGTGAGTCATCCTGGCTAATCCCCCCTTGCCCCCTCTGCCCCACCCCAACTATCTAACATGTCAACTTAGTGAAACTAGCCTTACCCAGCTGTTCCCCCTCCTCCAACCCCAGCTTCAGTAAGGGCTTCCCGTCTCCTCAAAGCCTCACCTTTTCACGCTCAACCAGAGGCCCCCCAGAGCTGGCTGGCTGCCGCAGGTGCTCTCCCTTCTCTGATCCAAGCATCCCTTCCCCTGTGCACACCGAGACCCCGGTGTCCCACAGCCCTGTCCGCCCCAGCAACTCGCAGGCTGGCCTGGGCCACTTCAGCCAGCAATCTGGGCTCCCCTGTGAACATGAGGAAGAGACAGCCACAGCCGCGCCGCCTACCACCACCTCCTCACAGACCATATGCCTGCCTAAGCTGCAGCCCTCCATCTCTGGCCGTCTCCTAAAATGCTTTATCCTTCACACTGCCCGTGAAAAGGGAGCTTTTAGGGACATCGAGGGGGAGGGTGGAGATAGAGAGAGAAGCACACACACATATACGCACATGCAGATTAGAGGTGAAAGACCTCATGAAATTCTCCTGAGGCATCACAAGCCCTAGCATTTTGTGTCCTCCCAAGGAGTCTGACTCCCTGTTTTGATGTTGACAATAAGAGACTAGTCCCAGTCAGTGGGTAACACAGAAATCTGCCTAAAGAATATCTTCAATGCAGTCTTAGTATATAATATGCTGATATTAATTCTCTTAAATAACAGAGAATAATAAACACCATTTTGTTGAATGACATTCAAAAATTAAAAGGAAATCTAGAATTGTCTCACTGTTATGAAAAGGCATTTAATGAAGTCATATGAGTGAAAAAATACTTAACTTCCATGATTACAATTTATTCTTCTAGAGAATATTATGAGCCAGATCTTTGGATTTTGTAATCAATGGAACCATATTCACACCAGCCCAGCACCAACTGAAAACAGAAAATTTGTTTGCTATAGAAAAAAAAGGCTTTGCATATGACGTACTAGTGTTTTAGAATAATTCATGCATACAAAAAATCTGACCCTGTAGCACTCAGATCAGACCACTGCTAAGATCAGTGAGAACTAAGATACCTACTCAATAAATACAGGTCATACATGTCAAAACTGCCACAGGCAGTTCAGGTTGTTATTTTTGTCCAAGATGCGGACTGCCTGCAGCTAACTTAACTCTCATATTAGAACACCAAATTTCTTTTATTCGTTCCCCAAGCTTGGACAGTTTTTCATCCCTGAAAAGACACACCAATTTTCTTAAAATGGGCATTACCCATAGGAGGGACAAGGCAGACAATGCTATGCAATTTCTTGTTACTCAAAACACGACGTAAAATAGGGTGCAGATGGCACCAGAATGTGGCCCACAGAATGCATCCTCAGCCTCAGAAATACTAATTCAAAACTGTCAGTACTGCAAGCTGTCAACACACACATCATAATTCTCACTTTAAAAAATTAGTAAAACTTGAATAGTGATCAGACATTCCATTTTAACTCTTATTTTCTATCAATCAGACAGAACTGCTGTCTCCAATACAAAAGTCATTGATATTTAAAATTAAAAATTCAACAGTATTATCAGTACTACAAGTATTGCTCTTTTGCAAAAAAAAAAAAAAGTTTTATAAATAACTGTTTGAACAACATGAAAGTCATTCTTAAAATATTAGAAAAGATGACTGTATGGTTAGCCTAATTGTTGGAGCCTATCTACTGTTTTACAATGGCAAATACTACTATAATTCAGGATGTGTTGTGCTTAAACAAACACAAGTAATAAAGAGTATGTGCCTGTGGTGTTATGCTGCCTTATGAATTTTTAATCCATGTTTATTTACTATAGAAAAAAAAAAAAGATGTTCTTTTCCTAACTATGTGGCACAGAGTAGGGAACTTTTGCAAGCTATCTCCCACTTCTAGCTGTGCTAGATTGCATGCGTGTCTTCTGTGTTCATCAATGTGAAGGTCCAGATGTAGATTCCTACCTCCCACTGATATCAATGGGAATTAGAAACCAAAGCAACTTTGAGTATTTTTTTTCCACAAGAGGAAAGGAAAACCGGCTTCGGATTAAAAGCTGGCCTTTCTAGCCAGCTCCATTCTGTTCAATGTAAGAGCAATTTGGAGAAAGCCAGTTGTCTTTTTCCATTACAATTTGAAAGTGAACTCATCTACTGTGCATGTATAAGCCAAGTGCACTAGCAAAGTTGACCCAACATGCTTTTCTCGATCTTACTGGGTTATGGAAGGTGTTATACTGTTTCCATTTTATTTTCAAACTAAGTTACGGATTGTCTCCTAGGCTTCCCAGCTACATATGGATTCAAGGCAGACTTCTTATTTGGAAAGAATCTAAAATATTTGATGCTGTGAGGTAGCACCACAACATAATGGAATAGCACTCACTTTTCATAGAGGAAACCCTAATCTATTTATTTCCCTTTGAAAGCTATGGCCTTTGGTTCTACAGATTATTGTACATGTGGCACTTACTCATTCTTGTTATGAAAGAAAACGACTTATTACAAAAAGGACTTTTCCAGTTGTTCTTAAACACTAGTGTGTGGTCTAAGCAGTAAAACTGCTGTGGGTAGTTCATTTGAAATGGTATTTGCGCATTACTTTTTATATTACAGTTTTTAGTTAATTTCAATATTTCCCTCAACTATTACTCTAATAATGGACTAGTTCATTTGTTTTTACTGTTCATCCAGTAGGTTTTTGTATGAACCTTGCAAAAGCATGTTCTGCATTTACAAAAGAGGTTAAAGTTAAAATTCAGAAGTATCAACTTCCTAGCTTTTACCAAGTGAAATGCTAGCCATGGTTATCAACTTTATGATTGCCCAGTTAGTCATCTGTTTTTCCCCAGCATTACTGACTACCAACTCTTCTTTTAAACATTGATGGCATGGGCATGCTTCTTGCACAGCGGCTTATCCTTCTTGGAGTAGAATGGCTGACCTTCCAAATTCACATGGCATACCTAGAATTAATAATAAATACAATCAGGAATCATTTAAAAAAAGAGAGAGAGAGAGAGAGAGAGAAAGACATGATTATCAATTTCAACTGTATTTCTCTTCTGCCCACACTTGTCTTTGGCAGAAGTGCATCTGATTTCCTGGATCTAAGTGCATGTCTTGGTAGTTTTCCTACTCCATGTTGAGGTTAGGCTCTGGTTTGCATCAGGTCTCCTCTCTGTACTTTCCTGCTACCACTACCCACTAAGTTCACTAGTTTCCATTAAAATGAAGTCTGGGTACACAATCCCCTAGGCAACTTCTGCATGTCCCAGCAGTGCTTGTGTAGACCATCAAAGGATAGTGGCACACTCGAGTACATGCAGCTAGCTCAGACTTTAAGACCTAGATTCTGATCCTTTAACGTATGATTTTACAAAAGCTCTGGTTAGGTGCCATGGTCCCAGGGGTACCATCCTTCCATGGTACCATTAGATACTCATTCCTATTATTACTTTGTCTTGGTACAGGTGCTTATGCGACCAAGGTGTGAGTTATTCAGACAGCCGGTATCATTGAAAACTAATTACTTATTCTTACCAGGTTATTCTTCAACCCATAGAGTTCTCTGCCTGGCTGCATAAGTGCCAGTGTTGACATAACAAAGCATGTGAGAATGCATGGCCAAGGCAGGGCAGCCCAGGTTTAGATCAGCTTAAACTGCCCTGGAATTGTGCAGGTATCTATACAGGGTAGTGCAACACCACTTGCAAGGTCAGAGTTGACTAGAACCACTTAAGGAAGTCAACACATCAGAATCTAGGAATAAGAATAAATGTTGTCGTCCCTAATGCTTATGGCAGGCTTAAGACCAGTGAGTGATAACGTCAGTGATGTGCTACTGCAAGTGGAAGGAAAATCACATGAAAGGATATGAGGACAGCATATTAGAAATTAAAAGTCATGTGTTTATTTGCATTTGACCTAACCTACTGAAAGAAATAAAGTTAGCTCCTACAAAAAATGCTGTGAGAACTGCATTAACAAAACTATCACCTCCATAGAAAATTGGGTTGCTAATTTAAATAAATACATAAGAATGCAGTTAAATGAACAAGCAAAAAAGAACACAAAATATTCCAAGAAAGTATCTTTTATAAGCGATAGTTTGTGAAGGAAATTCACTGTCTTAGTATTCCTTTCTATGTTAGAATTTCAAAAAGACTTCAATCTTCACAGGACACTTTTGTGTCACTCACTTCCATGTACCCTTGAAAGACCAGTAGCTAGTTTAGCTTTAGATATTTATAAACATCTATATACTTTCTACTCTTCAACCTAAATTTTAGAGTTCAACAAACATTAGAAATTGTCACTGTCTTTTTTTGGTGTGGCCAACATACTATTTTTAGCTAATTAGAGGTTCTAGATATTATTACCTTAGGAATAATATGTTGTAGAGCAGCACAGCTGTATTAGAACCATATGAAAAGTACTGTTTATCATATGGATTTTACTACTTCGTGTGCAGAGTGTGGGAATATGGTCACGCTATATAGCTGTACGCACACCACAGATTGATGAGTTTGACCACCTTCTATGCTAATTACTATTCATTCTCTCTAAACAGACTCCTTTTTGCAAGTTTCAACAAATATTCTGCATGGAAATACAAACTGCACTGCTTTGTAAGTAAGATTATGGCTATATTGTTCAGTATGGTGTTAATTTATTTTAAATCCTGCTTTATCTTTATTTGGTAAACATTGGAAAGAACAACAGCAATAGTGGTATGTATTACTGTACATACTCTCTAAAACTGGATGTTTTATTAGAAAGCACTTGTGATGGTGAAATTTAATAATTCTAATAAAAGTTTATGGAGGAGAAGAGAAATGACTTGCATCCTTCTCCATCAGCAAGTGAAAAATTAAATTCAATGCCTCTGCATCCTTAGGCATATGTTAATCGTTCCTGCTTTCAGGTCTTCAGATGTTACTTCACAATTTATGAGTATGAAGAAATGAGATAGTATTTGGTATAGAACCTACAGCACAAATGAAGCAGGTATCGTGCCAAGTGTGTCCGAGAGCTTCAATGAATTTATCTCCAGCTTCAACAGGAAAATCACAGCCATGGCATTTTGTGCTGAACAAAGCAATATAATCTAAAATAAAACAAAAAACAAACTTAGAACAAACTCTTAATGTAATTGCATTAAATCAAAGACAAATAGAAAGTTTCCAGAGGATGAATTTTTGGATTGTTTTTGCTCAGTTTCCTACTACATTCACTGAAACACTCTGAAATTTGCTTCTTTTCTTTATTTAAATACAAACTCAGTGCAAGCCCCCATGTCAGCATGACAGTTGTCATCACAAACATAGAAAACAAACAAAAAATTCATGAAATTTCAAGTTATGTTTCTCACATCAGTATTAAATTAGCTTTAATGTATGTGGAAGCTATTCGTTAGGACAAATATGGTCATGCAAAACACAATGTAATGCCCAGTGAGTGTTACGTTAAGGGTGGTATAGAAGCATAGTTTAAGTTTCCATGACTGGATTTATGTTCTCTCCACATTAAGAGAGAATATTATGGAAACCCCATACTGGCTGGTTAATACATCTTTACTTTGAATATCAAGTGTGATTTGGAAAGACTTGACATTGAAAAAGATTAACAGAAATTCTAAAGGTATATGGAATTTGTGAGAGTCATTAGAGGTTATGGCAGAACCTCTGATTTTGAAGGGTAGGTGCCAAGTCAGTCATGCTGTTTGGTTTTCATTCTTCACTAAGAGTTACTCTGATTTGTAAAATTTGATCTGCGCAACCATAAGGAAGGAATGTCCAGAGAGAAGTATGCCAGAAGGTCATTAAACGGACAAGGCAGGGCTTACAGAGAGAATACCACTTAAACCTTAACCTGCTTCCTGACCATGTCAGGCAACTCATTTGAATGGCAAGCACCATTCATTAAACCATATTACCCTTTCCATAGTTTGGGAAAATGTGGCCTTTTCCTCTCTTATTTGGCAAGAAGCAGTTCATTTGTTGCAGCACTCAGAAAACAAAATCTGGACTACTGCGTGCTGCATATCTGAGCAGAGCTGTCTTTTCATATATGTTGGTTGATCAGTTTTAGGGTGAGGTAGCAGTATCAGAGATTCAAGCAACTTATTAGAGAGAATGTGGGCAGCAACCCACACATGTAGAAGCGCTACCAGAACCCTAAAAGAATAATTTTTCACCCCATAACTTGTAGATTTCTAGTGAGCAGAATCTACCAGGAAACATAGGGGGACAGGGAAAAAAGCGTAGGGAGAGAAATGGAAGATAAATATCTAAGGGAGAGAAGTGAGGTATGGCATTCTGGGACATAGAGGCAAAAGACCAGTGCTCTTCCAGTCTATCATATAAAGCGGAGAAAAACACAGAGAGGGAAACACTTGTATATGTGAAACATGCAAACGAAATCCGTGCTGGATGGGTTACTGATTTTATTTTGTTCATCAGCTGCTTTATTCTTACATTGCTTTCATACAACATGAAGCACATGATTACTGAGCAGAACTGTCCAGTTTGCCATACCTTTCTCACAGTAAGGTTCCCCATCCTCCATGTGAAAGAGGCTATTCCCAAATGGCTTCTTACAAGCAGCACAGACAAAGCAACTTGTGTGCCAAGTCTGTCTTAGGGCATGCATCACTTCCTGTAAAACAAACAAACAAACAAAAGTCTCCAGCAGAATAGCATGCCCTGCAACTACCTACTGGAAAACAAACACAAGGCAGAGATGCTCTAAATCTTTCCCTTCTGTATCAGCCAATTCCCCTCCTCAAAAGAAAGAAGTATGACAGAAACTGGGCTTATTTGGAAAGAAAGAGGAAATAGGACTGCAGACTTTCTAGAACAATGTATTTGCCAAAATGAAACAACATAGTTCAGCCAGCTGTTTGTATCAACATGCCCAGTTGCTGTTGCAGAAGAGATTCTGCACAAAGATTCTGATTATTTTCTCCTTTGTTTTGAAACAACTAGTATGAACTCTTCAATGCAAGAGTGTGATTTGTTAAATAAATTTTAAAGAGTAATTTTCTCTCTAAGACCAAGAAATGCATGCAGGTGATAAGTGATTTAAGTCTGATGTTTCAAAACAACTTAGATTATGTACCAATTTCTTTAAGCTTCTCATAAGAATGCTTCACAAACTACTGTGAAAATCTAAAAAAATTTAAAAAAGAAAGTTTCTTAGATTTTTAACTTATGTGATTAGTGAAAATGAGTCTGCGTGTCTGTTCCTAGGCCATGTGTTCATCACAAACAAATTCTGTGCAACTGATGTTCTCTTGAACTGAGTATCCAGATTTTATCAGCTTCTTTCTTCTATCCAGTATGAAGCCATCTCTATTACTGCTTCATTCTTATCTTGTCATACAGAAGTCCTCCAAGTCCAAAAGCTGCTGTACTGAGCTCTGATGCATGGTTACCTGCTAATTCGTCAATCTTATTTGTGCCCAAGACAATGTTTGACAGTGTATCTCTGTCAAACGGTCCAGATTTCAAAGGGCCAGCTGCTTAACTGGTGTAAATTAATTTAGGTTTGTTAACTTCAGTGAAACAGCATTGATTTACACCAGTTGAGAATCTAGATCCTATTTTATATTACTTCCAATTATATACATAGACTCTGATTCTCTTTTAAAGATTATTTTTAATCTCTATTGACTATGACAAAAGGGATTGAAGTCCTCTTCCATGCTTTCAATCCAGTGAACAGACAAAATAGTCTAATTTATGTTTGCCATATATCTCATTAGAGAATCACCATTTGAGATTCATTAACTTCTGTTACTGTTTGCAAAACAACTATCACTGATAAATAGGTTTGGATCCATTTATGAACCTCACTGAGTTAAGAAGCAAAAAACAGATTGAGAAATCTTATTAATATAAACAGAGGCAGCTGGCATCTTTGCTATTTTCCTGATGAAAATCCATAATGGGAACTGATTTGTAGCAGCATTAATTAGGTAAGTTAAGTCAGTACTCTGCTGTAAAATTACTCCTACTGCTGCAATAGCAAACAAGACTTCGTTGGAGCCAGAGCTTCACCATAGATGTCTGATACTGCCAGCCCTAATTGGCAATTGCAGAGAAAAAGATCTAGTCTGTCAATGCCAACATTTAGAGAGATGTCAAAAGGTGACAGCTAAGCAGTGAAAAAAACAGTGTGGTACTCCTTGCTTCCTCATTTAAGAGAATGTCATATATTCACTATAACTGCATGCATAAATACGCTGCTAAAATTATCTTACGGTATTCCAAACTCATCACCATCTAAGGTATACATAGAGCAAATTTACTTGTACCTAAGCATGAGTACATTAAGACAAAAGTGACATCTATTTTTGGCTTTCTGGAATTCAGGTCTTTATTTATTCTGTATTTTCTTAACTATAAGAAGTCAGCAGAATTCCTCTTGGCAGCTGTGTTGCTAGCTACCAGTGAGGTGCAGCAAGAACGATGGGTCTCTTCCTGAGATCACTGACTTCTCCATTGAAATTTAGACTAAGTCCTGTATAAGAAAAAACCCCCAGTTCAAGTCTTTTACTATAAATATAAGGAAAAGATAGATAAAAGTAACATAGTGTGTACTGGATAGCAAAGAACTATCCAGAAAGTACATATTCTGTCTATGAGTTGAATAAGGTACAGAAATATCCAAGATTTCAGATACATAAAAATTATTATAAAATCATATGTTTCTCATTCTGAATAATCAACAGGCTGGCAAATTATTATTAAAAAGGGGGAAATAAATAACTATCTACATTCATTGCTTACAGTCTGAACTATTTCACTATTTCAGTGAACCACACAGTTGGAGAAAGGGTTAAGCTTGTTCTCTTACCCCCATAATCTTAGTGTGGCATCTGGCACAGGTTGGTGCAAAGAACTGTTCATAACAGCGCTCACAGTACACACTATTCTGCTCTTCCACAAAGCACATATCAGCCAAGGATGTCTTGCAGTAAGCACAATTGAATTCTTCTGGGTGCCAAGAGCGACCCATGGCTACCAGGAAAGGACCCCTGTAAACAATTGTAATTATCTTATTTGTATTGCAAAAAGATTGAATGACCCTTCATTACAAACCTACATTGTTAGACACCGCATACATGTATAACAAGCATTCTACTTGAATCATGAAGGTGCATATTAAAATAAGATCCAGAAGCCTGAACAGAAATGGTCTTTTTCAAGATCATTACTCAAACACTTTGCCGATTGGTTAAAATATTTCATTACTGTTTAGTCATATACATTGGATTTACAGACAACTGTTGGAAAAATCATCGTTTTCATGTCTGTGTAGCTATAAGTGGTCTTTGTAAACAGCTGCAAAAACAACAGGAAAAGGCCAAGGGCTGTAAAACAGAAGATAATGCTACTATTTGAAAGCATAAAAAGCAGGTGAATTTTCAAACCTACACACAGACACCTCACAGTAGCTCCTAAAGTCTCCTGCCTTCTTTTCATCTGAGAGAGCACTGCATGCAGCATGTTCTACAAATGTGGGACTATCAGATGACAACTCTGTTGTATGGAAGACACATTAAATTCATTTTGGTGATTTACTCTTGATTGTAATTAGATATAGTGATTATTACTGGAGTCTTTCCATTTCAGAATATATGAAGGGCAATAATCAGCAGTTCCACATCACCAAACTAGCTCCTTTTAGCGGAGGAGACTGTCATTAAACATGGATTACTTAAAGTTGGTTAGCAGTCCACAGGGTAACAATGGGCACTGGTCCAGCAGAATGAACTGGAAGAGGAGAAGGGAGAGGCATGCTATGAATCACTGGTAATAGAGTGTAGGCATTATCTTTCTCCAGACACAAAAGCAACAATTACATTTGGCTGCTGTTCCAAAATGATGTCTCGTTCCTTTTCTCTCCATAATCTCCCCCCCCCGCCCCCGCCAATGAAGTTGTATGTACCTCCTTCAAGGGTACCTTAGGACCAGAAACTTGTTTAAAAAACAAACAGTGATTTGCCACAGCATCCAAGAAACAAACAATTAGCACGTATAACTTTACAGTGATAAAAAGGGAACCACACAATAGCAAAATGAGCTCTGGAAATGTTAAATTAATGAAGCAGACAACAGACATCTCTGCTGGGTAATTTAACTGAGTCTTAGGCTCTGGTACTGTATATTAATGTACAATAACCAGTCTCTGATAATTTTTTTCTGCTTCATCCCTCTTCAAAACCTCATGACCTTACCGAATTATGCTGTTACAGTGTCCACAGAGAGGCGTTCGGCTGCTGGCTGGAAAACGCTCAGCCCTTTGAACTGTTCCCCGGGCTATTGCAGGAGCCTGGGAAGAAGTTGAAACTGGAGATGGGTAAGCCGAAGTTGAGGCAGGAGATGGTACTGGAGCACCCCTTGGTAGGATGTGCTTTGTGACAGTGGTGGTGGTTTTTCCAGGTGCAAATTTCTGGGAAAAGGCTTCATCTGTTACCCAGGGAGGGCGACTTGCAGGCTCAGCGTTGGCAGGGGTGTAGGAATGAACTGGTGCTGGTGCTGTTTTAAGTATTCCAAAAGAAACCAAAAAGTATTTTAAAGTCTTTTCTTCCGATGGCAAAACAGCAACACTTACTAAAGGGTCCTCCATGATACACACAAAAAATAAAAGCTTCAGATGACAATTATGGCCTGTCCCATTATTGCTCATTAATTCTGGACTGAAGCCAAGGATATCAGCACAATCACTGACTTCTAGTCCACATGCATTACAGAAGTCACTGTTTGCTGGCTTTTACAGATTTTATGGAGACCATTTTCAAGGGCATCTCTTCATTTTCTAGTGGGAATGGATATGACATTTCTATGATAATTTCAAAGACTGCCATATAACCTGTTTAAGACAGGTTAAAAATAGAAAGGCCAGATGGTGTAACAAAGTTTTAGATGGAATTCCCCATAATTTCAATAAGTTATGCTTAAATTTTGATTCCACTATATTCACTAAAATTCAGCATTTTCCACAGATGTCACTTCATCTGTAATTTGGAGATTTTACTTCTAGGTTTCTGAAGAAAAACAGGCTCACACAGGGAACACAGGGATAGAGAGCACTGGAAGCGATATTGAGGGAGCCAGTTCAGCTCACATGACCAGCAAGACAAAGCCAACAGCACTTAGAGGAAGGCCAGGCTTGCGGTTATGACTGATCTCAGTTCAGTTCTTGGCTCTGCCACAGACTTCCTGTATAACTTCGAGCAAAGCGTAGTATCTCTGTGCCTCAGTTCCCATGTATATAACAGAAATATTACACTTTCTTTCTTTCACCCTTTGACTATCACATAAGATCTTCAGTGCAGACTATCTCTGTGTTTGTGTGCACCAGCCTCTAATCTTGGGTGGAGCTTTATCACATAAAAATAAGCAGAAGCTAGAGCATGCACATACCAACAAGTTTTCCCATTGCCCTGCTCTTTTCAAAACATCAGATCTTGCATTGTGTAGGACTGAAGTCACTGCCCAAGAAACTGCCTCACTTTGCCAAGTACAGGAGCACTAAAAGCAGTTATCCTTTGCAAGGAAAACAAAGTGAGTGATTGTTGGTTTGTGTGAGGAGGAACAGAAGCTTGGAGAGTTTTGCCCAAATGAGAGAGCACAGATTTGGGAAGAGAAGTGAGTTCTGCCATCTAGGCAAACACTCTGTGTAGTAGATCCCAGTGACATTTACAGTTTTAAGGGGCTTGCAGGTAGAAAGGTATTTCAACCAAGAAGAGGGTCCGAATGTAACATGGATCTTTCTGGATAATTAAGTGAAGATTATGTTCTACATAACATTCTTCCCTTAGACCACACCCTGCCACATAGAATAACATACACTGATTGCTGGCAATTGCAGGTGCTTAAATTGCATATATATCAATCCACTGTGATCACCCTAGCGATCTCTGATTTTCTTGAGTTCAGAGTTGAATCTAATGCATCTTCTTGATAAAACTTTCATATGCTAGAGCATCAACAACATTTCTGCTTCATAAAGCTGTATCCCACCTTAGCTTGAGGCTTCTTTTTTTTTTTTTTAAACTGGGAAATGGTAAACAGTGTTTAAAGATTTCAGAACAGAGAGTTTATATGCAATCTCTTTAAATCCTGAGGCTGTTGCTATTTATGTATTACAGTATTAAGCTAGACAAAATTAGAAGGCAATATTTCATCTCTAATTGGTGAGTTCAAAAGGCTCCCACCTATAAGGCTCTGTAATTAAATAAGGTGACTTCTAGTCACTCAGTTTTGTGAAAGGATTCTCCCTCCCCCAAGAGCTAATCCCTGTTCATGCAAAGTACGGCAGTGTATCCCACAGAGGGCCTAACAAAATGGTCAGATACTCAAATACAGAGTTCCAGAAGTGAACAACAAATGCAGTCCAGGTACCATTTTTAGGATGTCTTTTTCTATGATTGTCTTTAGTAAATTCAGCTTACAACCTGTTAGTTTTTCACTTTTTCCTCCTTAATCTCACAATGTCGGTGTTCTATTTTTCCAGTTTGTTTATTCCAACCAATGTAGACAGTATATGATTTCTCTCGGTTCAGATTAATCTAGACTCCTTTGAAGGATAAACACTGGGGAAGGGTCTTTGTCTTTCATTCTCTCTACCTTTTATTTCTTTTTACTCTATCTTTTCTACTTGCCGCAGTAAAATGAAGCAGCAACAGAAATTTTTTTCCAGTTCCTGAGAGAAGATACCAGGGGAATTATTGCCAAATGACAAATGTTGGGTGTTCGCAACTGCTCTGAGTTCTCTTTTCAGCCATTAGCATTTAATTTTACAGGCTGGATTTATTACAACATATTCCCCCCCCTCCCCGTGTGAGCAGGTTGGACTTACTATTGATGTAAAATAGTGTCATTGCAATGTATTAGGAAGGTTTCACTAACTTTGAGATTTTAGCTATTTTTATTAAGAGGGAATTATTATCTTATAGCTATATCCCTAAGCTTATATGAACAACACTCTTGTCTTAGTAGCTACTGCCATACAAATTCACCTTGCTTGTTTATGTCTTTCAAAGTCTTCCAACATACACGCAACATGTAAAAGGTGCTGTTTGCTAGTAAAAAGTACTAAGATTCTGTATATCAGAGAATAGATTCTCAAAATACCAGTATTGTATGAGCTGACCCCTAACTGTTAAAAAATGAATACTTTAAATAATTCACTAACCCAGCCTCTATCACGTTGTTTCTCAGCCCTCAGACTCTTTTAGAGTAGGAGACGAAGAATGGGACTATTGTTATCCTCAGAGAATAGCAGGAGAAGAGGTCTCTCTTAACAGCCATAGGAGCAAGCCAATTCCTTGCTTCTGGGGAATTTGGAATTCTACCCATCAGCTCTTCATTTATGGTCAATAGATATTTTCCCTCCAGAAAAAAAGGCGTGTTACCAAAGATTCATTTAGTAAAGATTCATATAGTCTCGAATGAGTTAGTCTTACATACTAGCTTGCACTGTGAAAACAATTTCCCTTTTTTTTCCCCTTTGTTAGTAGAACATGTCATTGTTATTCTTAACAATAATTTTCCAGTAACAAATGTAATTCATAACCTCAACTGATTTGGCTTGTTCTACACTTAGTGGCTGCATCCTTGAAGCCCCGAATTTTCCTATATACTGTTCCAGTACATAGTAGATGACAGACAAAGCAGATAATGCAACAAGTCCTTTATAAAAAGACACTATTATATTCAGAAGAATTTAAAATGAAAGATGACACATAACCTACTGTTTTAGTATTGAAGGTGCTTAGGAGTCAGTGAAAAGTTCATTGAAATCTGTAGGAATTTTCTACCAATTTCTAGGAGAATGGATCAGGCCTTTACACTTGAGCACTTTTACATACATGAGTAGTCCTGTTTGGACCTAAGGATTTAAAAGGAAAGATCTGCTTTCTTACTTTTAGGTATCATGTTACTTCGTAGTATAAAACTGGCGTTTGAGTTGCTTGGAATATATGAAATCACTATTCTAGACTGGGAAAGCCCAGAAGAAAGGAATACACAAGTATTTTCTGCCATCTAGTGGACCTTATTCAGAAAAGAAGTCTATGCTCCGTTTAAAAACAGATTATGAAATTTATGGGACAGGGAAGGGAACGATTTCAGAGCTCACAGCTTCTCCTATAGGAAGAAAACAATGATTTTTAGCAGCAGAAAATTCCCACCGGAGTTAGGTTAGTCAAAGTAGCATCTTTCTTTACTTTAAAGTTAGACTTACTGATTACTCCCATCTGAGCCAGATACTTAACAATGCAGTTTCATTTTGAGATTGGTTTCAGTGTAAACAAGATTTAGCCCCATTGGTTTTTTTCAATCTGAGACAGATTTAAATAGTCTTGTAAACCCTCTTAGTGATTGACTCGGGTTTCTGGATATTGCATATATGTGGCTGTTGGTGGGTGTTTTGATCTGGAAGTTGCTGGCCCACATTTTTAAGGGAAGCAAGTTATCTCATTCCCATTAACACTGACGGCTAGCATAAAGACATTCCTCTTCTAAATTCTACATTGCAAATCGTTAGAGTAGTCTCCACTATTTTTGCCTTTTCACACAATGGATTTACAAAAAAAGAAGTCTAAGAAATTCTTTGCTAAAGTGAGAGTGCAGTTACTGCAAATGCCTGAAGTTGCACTTGGACTGGAAGAAAAAGATGTATCTTGTGATCTCCTATGCCTTAATTTGAGAACAGCTGGTCCTCTCAGATTGAGGTTGCATTTTACACTGCAGGACAGAATTTATAGGCATTGACAAAGTTGGGTAAGGAAGTTTTATAACTGTCTTGTTTTGAAGTACTGTTGATCTTTCCCAACTGTGACAGGAAATGCCGTTTCCTCCATTTCTTCCCAACTGACAAATTTCCCATTTGCTCAGGACTGCAACTGCAACTGTCTCTAGGGTCAGCTCATGTTCCAAAACCAGTATGGAGTGCTACTACATCAAATACATAAAACTTTAAAAAGTTACCAAAACAAAACCCAAACATCTTCAATAAAATCTCTGTCTATAATCTCTTTTGTACCTGAGTCACTTTGGGGTTCAATTACAAAGGTATTTTAGAATACTTTATTGGATATTTCAAACTCCTAAACAATACAGGGGGACTTACTGTTTCTTCCTCTGTCAACTTTAATGCTATTTGAATTTTTTCTTTGTAATATATCACATTAGATATTATTCTGAATTTTCTCTTGTTCTCTAGAGTACATTATATCCTTGCAGTGCCTGCAAAATAAGAATTTTCCACACACAGGCAGACAATATATACAGTTGAAGTTAAGTTTGTTGTATACATAGTGACACAGAACAGAGTTTCCATACTGTGTATTTTAAGCCTTTATTGGGAGGCAATGGGGCGCAAAACCAGCAATATAAGGTATTGCAAAGAAGATGCCCATCACAGGAGAAAACAAAAGCATTGCCTCTTATTCAGAGTCTAATTTAACAGCCACCTTTTTCTTTAACAGATACAGCTGCTAATTGGGTATAGTTACAGATTTATTTCTGTGGCAGGTTTGTATATGGAGAACTGGAGTTTATACTTCCCCCAAATGAGCATGGGGCTTAGAATCAATCAGTGCATCTAGGAGATATGTTGACTTGCCACAGTTTGCTCTGTTCTGCATTATGGAAATAAATCCTCTGTCTTCATCTTTCCTTCTTTTGCAAGACAAAAATAGTAACATTTGCCTTCAGTGAGAACATGGTATATGCTGACACACTTAACCAAAAGCAAATGAGGAGAAGCTGAAACCTTTATTTACTTTGAGACCCTTAAATAGCTCATGATAGTTCTGAACTAGCTTTTTCCACCTTTATATCTCAAATATAAAGATCAATCAACTCATCTGTCTGTCTGCTTTATGTTTAAGTAAAATGTCTGCATTGGTTTCATTTCAGTAGATCCAGAGATACAGCATTACAGAAGACAGAGTTTAAGACTGTTAGAATTCTTGGCCTTTTCATATTTACTTGACTGTCAAGATATAAATCAACTTTTAAATTCTCTTGCTAAGATCAAAACAAGCTTAATTTGAAACAGAACTGCATTTAGACTTATATTGCTGCCTCATTTAATTTCTTCATTTTGAAGGTTCATATTTTGGTCAACAGTAGTTTTAGAAGTTCACTCCATTTGTAACACATTAATACAAAGGGATTTTAAATAACATCAAGGAGCATATTTTCCACATGAATGAATAATCAAATATATTCCTTCAGTAACTGGATCTGTGGGAAATGGAAGCATAGCATTATAAGTACTTTAATAGGTTATTCTTTATTTCAAATATAAGCCTGAGTTTGAGAAGTTCAATATATGGCCTTATCTATTTTGTAAATATATCCTACTCAAGCTACCTTCACTTATTTTATCTCCCTCCTGAGTTGTGCGTTCTTAAGCTATTTTATCAATTCTGAAGTGTCACTGGGCTCCTAATTGGGTGCACTGGGTTATTTTCCCAATGTATTTCTTTTGAAAAATCAGGCTATGCATTTTTTATTACAGACTTTTCCTTGCTTTTATTCTTCTTCCCCCATTTGTTCCACATTTTCACTCCAAAGCAGAATACAAATACAATATAAACCTTGATCTTCAGATAATCTGAAGCAAAACTAGCAAATAACAGTATTTGGTTCCATGTATATAAATCTTTCCTGATATGTGTGTGTCCTGTTGCAAAATATGCATTCTTTGCATTTTCTTTTTCTAAAAGAAATGTGCAGGTGCATTTCTGTTCTGAATCCTTTTAGTACTTTGTTCTGAATCCTATCAGTACTTTGAAGTCACCTTACCTGGCTGGTAGACAGAGGGCTTTATGCTGGCAGTAGTAACAACTCTCTGTTTTGAAGTAGCAGAAGAAGCAGGACTTTCACCGTAGCTTCCAGAAACTGGCATTGGTGTATATGACTGGCTTGTGTTTCTAAAAGCAAAATGAAGGTATAAGCAACTTTATAAACAGCAAAAGTTACTGATTATGAAATAACAGATCTGGCAGCTTCCAAAGCATTCCAAGGAGAACTGTCCTTGAGAGCTACAGAGAGAATACTGTGAGGTTCATTAGTCTTCACCATTGCTAAGAAAGGCTTGGACAATTATTTGGAAAGAAAAATTAGCCAAATAAGGATTTTTGAGTAATGCCAAGTTGCTCTTGTCACAGAAAATAGCTTACTGAAGGAATATGACAAATTTATTAAAGGAACTCTCAGTTTAACAAGGGATCAAACTTCAGGAACATGCATACAAAGTTTGGGTTTTCTGTCCCTCTACAAACAAACAGGCCTGTTCTTGTCTAAGATAAATCAATGAGGGACATCTTGTTGACTTAAAAAGATACTGACTCAGCACAATTACTACTACTACAAATACTAACTACTGTTTATAAGCATTGTACTCTTCTCAAAAAGACTGTAGTGACCTTTAAAAAACATTTCTGCAACTAACTCTTTTCCCTATTTAGACTGAAACCACAATTTACATTCATTTTTCTAATGTTCAGATTCAGCTAACCCAAATGCACGTGATATGCAATATTATGATGCAATTTCTGCATTCCTAGATTAAAAACATTTGCTCAGGATTCCAAACATCAACAAGAAATAGCTTTTCTCTATTTTATGGCTTAGATGGTGATTCTGAGTTTGATTACAGTAACACATTGAAATATATGCCTCTTCTACTTGCCTATAATTTAGGATGATTCTAGCTGTAGTGATTTTGCTTCATAGACCACTAAAAGAGCATTACAAACAAAGCAAGCAAGAGAGAATAAAGAAGTACAAGTAAGGGAAGCAACAAATACTGAGATGTGTGCAGTAATAAAACCCATTCACTATTGACCATCACTCTTACTCACCCTGAAAGCATAGTTTTACTTTCTTTTTCCCTTCAGTTTCCCCACCTGTGTGAACCAGATCCCTATCCATTTGTGGTGATAGTTTAAGAGTTATTTCCATAGTGGCTTTGTCTACAGGAAAACATTTGTCAGCATAAGAAAAGAAGCGTGCAGCTTTGCCGGGCCATTGGTCCATCCTGACTTGTACTTTGACAGTGGAAATAGATGCCATCTGGAGAGAACTTTACATATGGCAAACTCAATAAATTCCTTCCAGTACAGGTAAAAAATGTTCTGACAAATGTAAACTTTTGATTTTTAATTTTGAACAAAATAAACCTATCCTCACAACATAGCTTTTTGCTACTCTGACAGTGCTTATACTATAGATCTAGTTTGCATAGCACTACTGCCTCAGGCTAATTTATTTTGTCTATTTAGTTAGACCTAGAAACATAGCTATTGCTACAATGACTACAGCTAATTATTTCCGTACCTAGTCCGGGGCTTAGGCCTGGATTTGGGTCCACTATACCACGAGTGAACAGGACTCTGTATTCACTGTAAATTCTGTTAACTGTGCTGTGGTTTTGTAACCGCCAAAGCTGTTCCAAGCACAGTAAGACTTTTTACTTTCCATTCCTACCATCTATTTCCTGTTGATGCCTCCTCATCTGTAGTGCATAACGCACTGTACTCGGGGTCACGGGACAGAGGATCATTGCTCCTACCGTAGCACAGACAGGAAGATGTACACTTCAGTAACACTGGCTTCGCATACAGCTTTCAAAATGCCTTTAGCTAAACACATACTATCAAAAGACTTTTCCTTGTTTTAAAATCTACTACTCAAGGTAAACTAGACAGAAAACCAGTAAAACATACTTACCTTTACAGGATCAGTGATCAATATTTACAATGTGGATTAAAAGAGTTTAAATCATGTGTCATACAGCCTTAATCTGAAAATGGCATACGCTTAGCAAAGTCTACTCCCAGATGTGCAGTTCCATTGGTAGAAAGACTCATTTGAAGCTCTCTTAATGCACAAAATATATAAAGAAGTTCTGAGCCAGATTAGTGACACTTACACTGTCATGAAGAAAAAAGGTTATTCAAAATTCAAATGTTTCCCAAAGTTAATAGCATGGTAAAACCATGCCACTAGATTTCCTTGTATGTTCAGAGGAATGAAGTTGAAAAAAACAAAACCAACACACACCAAAAAAATGTATTTATAGTACCAAAATCACAGCAAAATTAAAAAAAGAAGTCAACTACTGAACTCTTTCACAAGTGCATATTAAATACAGTAAGGAAGATAAAAAGGCTTGTCAAAGAGAAAGAGTTACACTACATCATTAAGGGTTTTAGTGAAGTTAAAAGATTTATCAGAATTTCTGCTGAAGAAAAGGAAATAGCATGTGATTAAAAGAAAGTAAGAAAGAAAGAAAGAATAAAAATATGTCCTAAGGAACAAAGATGCTTTAATGGAACAGGAAGCAATGGCATCTCGAAAAGCAGTGAAAGCACCCTTACTGAACTGATCTGTAGCAGCCAATGGCATGTGACAAGCAGCGAATTAAATACTGGCTCTGAAAACTATTAGTTGTCAGAAAAAGAAAGAGTAAATATTTCTAAGCAGATCATTTTTATGTTAACACTTCAGTAGATGCCTACTAGCAGCAATAAACTGGTTTGTTAAGTGCTTTTAAGGTAGAGTAGCTGCACAAAACGTTTTTATACCTCTTCTTTGACTGGTAGCTGATGGAGGTGGAAGAATGCCGGTTGAAACTAAAATGAGACAAAAGTTGTATTTGAAAAAAAAATATAGCAAGAAAATTGGGATATCTTGTCCTATGGTGAATTTCCTTATGAGTAAGAGGTGCTTTTAAGTGCTAAAGTAAACAACATGTACATATTTATAATCATATAAGATCAGTATTACATTTTGCTTATCTTATTTAAGCCAGGAATCATAGTGAAACCTGAATAATGGTAACATAAATAAATCAGCCGAGTATATTGCTCTATAAGTCACTCTCATCCAGTTTTGCTCGTTCTTTAGTTGTGGAATTCTAGTTCAACCACTGGACTGTTTGCTTTGACATTCACCATTTATTTGTATTAACATAGAAAAATAAGTATGAGTTTCTTTTTGTGTCATAAGCTTAAAGTCGCACAACCCCACAGAAAGGACAGGCTGGAAGCAGTTGAAGCAACAACATCAAGCCATCACGTTCAACTTTTCCCTTGCAGTACTATTCTGCTGTTCATTTACTAAACAGAGTCTTAGGTAAACAGGTAGATTTTTTTTTTCTTGGAGAAACAGCATCATTTCAGAACATAAATGATTAATTTATGTAAATGCAGAAAGTACTTAAAAGCCCGCACAATGTAATATCTGAGAAACAAGAGGATTCAGAATGAACACAGATCCTGTCTAAATGCAGAGCAGTGCAGGGCTGCATGGCATCAAATCACATCCCACAGGAGCACAGCCCACATTTGCCAGAATTACCAGAAGCCCATCATATGCCAGTTATTTTCCTAGCTTCTGGAGAGGAGTTTTTCTTCCCTTTACCACAGACACAGTGCCTGGATTAAACCCCTAGAATGACAGAAGCTACACCTTCCTTTTAGAACCATAATTGCAACTCTTTCCATCGTTTCTGTTTTTGTATTCCCAGAGTGCTGTCTCGCTGGTTGCCCTACTTTTACCCCCCAGATGGAATAACCAATTGCATAAAGAGCTTTGTAGCTTTTTTAAAACACTCCTGTTATGCTTTCTTTTTTGTAAGTAAGATCATAAGTGAAAATGTAAGATAACATTGCAGACTTAAAAGTAACACAACCAGTTACGGATTAATGACTTACTTCAAACATTCCTCTTTAAGAACATTTAGGAAAAGATTTTACTCATGTTAGGTGTTATGCATTTTGGCCTTGCTCACAAAAGCAAAATCACTGTAGAACTGAATCTACCAAAGTTTAAAAATCAGATTTAAATAGTTAAGGACATTGATCAAGAAATGCTCCTGCATTTTCTCGGCGGACCTTCATAAGGTATCTAGAAGGAAAAAAACCCCAACAAACACTGGAACAATGGTGGTAAAATCTCAGCCTCATTCTACCTGAGCATGTTTTACAGGATGGGGATACTGTTGTAACTAAACTAAGGTCATCCATATTTTATTTTGTACTAAAACTATAAGAAATGCTGCAATGCTCCGATGGTGGATGTCAAGCTGAACCTGGATTTTTAAGTCTGTATTTTGGCATGCTAGTGCGTTGCTTGATTTCTAAATGAAAACTATCAGATGCTCAAAATTTGAATTATAAATTAATTTAGAGGCCAGTTTTAGTCCCTTATGTCTGAATACACTAGCTATAATACATGACAGTTTTTAAAACAAACATGGAAGTAGTGTACAAAGAACCTATTTCAGGTGCAACACAGCCCTCCAAAACCAGAGTTTGCTTCTTGTACCTGATCATCAGGGAACCAATTTTTTACAGGTCCTACAAGTTTCTGATTTGCCTTTATGTTCCAAGGCTTGTTGAATTACTGAACTTCCAAGAGAGGTATTAGCTAACACAATAACATTTGCTGATAACGGCTTGAAGCTTATGTCAGCATGATAGATACCTGTGTCATCCATTGGCAAGTAAGATTTTAGGGCAGTAGTGTATAAAGCGGATATGCTGTAGATCTTGCATCTTTGACTTAAATAATTGCCAGGTACAAGCAGTAGGTTTTAGTAGTCTGATTAAAGCATTGCTTTCTGAAATGGACTGTTGTTTTTCATAGATTCACAGAATCTTTCAGGTTGGTCCTCAGGAGGTCTCTCATCTAACCTCCTGCTCAAAGCAAGGCCAGCTCTGAGGTCAGACCAGGTTGCTCGGTGTTTTATCCAGTTGTGTCTTAAAAACCTTCAAGAGTGGAGATGCATAGCCTCCCCAGACAACCTGCTTCCTTTCAAAGGGGCAGGAAAGGGTAAGATGGTCCATGCCTCTAACGCAGGAGGTAAAAGACATTTGAATTGGAAGTCAATTTTAATATCTCATGGTGATCTTTTTATCCTTATTACTCATTAAAATTGTGATTCACACCTATTAGTCCATATTGATACATAACTACTAATGAATTTATAGTTTCAAGGCCTTGCACTGCTTCCCTTCTCCCCATTAAAGGAATGTGAAATTAAAGTGAAATGGATAAAGGCTCAATCAAGAAATAGTATTATATTAGCTCCAAGATAGCCATGCAAGTAGTGTCAGCAAATAGTAGCTATGTTTATACTAATTTATTAGCTGTTTATATGTAAATTATACAAAATTGTTGCTTAACTGTTATTTCCAAGACAAACATAGCTCTTTTATGGAAGAGTAGAGTTATCCAAAAGATATCTGCATCTAATTCTTATACCAAAAGCTATGCCAGCAGTTGTCAATCCATCCCAAGTAACTGTTATACTCTATTCCTGACCAGCATAGCTACCACACTTCAATGTGAAGAGTGCCTATTCTAGGATTCAGAAGGTCTATCCATAGTTCCGTGACTAATACAAATGAATTATGAGCTTCCTAAATGAATAGCTTTCAGTTAAAAAACCCATATGCATGCATTAACCATTTTGTGAAAACATGCCTTCTACCTACTTGGGCAGCCTTATTCTAAGGATTTTCTATGATGATAAACTGTCTGTCTCTGAAAGGTTTCTAGATATCTACCACTTTTATAACTCTGGTGTAAACACTCATGATGCTATGATTCACATATTCATAAGGGTTTCCAAAGTCTTTAGATGACTCCAAGTATGGTCTTATAACTCAATAGTCCAATTTTAGAATGCCCCCCCCCCCCCTTACTACCACCATTCCCAGGGTCCAAATCTTTTTCTGTCTTCACCTAGTCAGATAGCTTCACAGAATAATAAAAACAAAATCCAAAGGAAATTTTATTTCTGAAATAAAGCCATTTCTTAAAACTGGAAAATTTGTAGTTTTGGCATTTTAGAAGTACGATGTGTTCTTTAGCTCTCCCCTTATGTCCTCCTATTCAAGATAATCAGAAATTGTCAATGAGTAGGATTTTTTTCACTCAAGTGTAAAAATGCCTTTCTAATCTTGGATGGACAATAAAATAAATCTGATTAAGATTTTACCAATGGAGTCCTAAAAGCGATATATAGAAAGCATCTGTGATTTTATCTTTCTGCATTCCTCCAAAATTGTTCATTAAATGAAAATCTTTCATTATTTGATTGTTTTTCTTGAAGGGGAAAAACTAGAGCCTTTTGTAATATCAATGCTAATCTCAATGAAATATGCATATATTGCAGAAATAAAAAGTATTACATGCAGTACAACTACTACATGCAGGCTTCACAGACCTATTATTAGCTATTATATACAATTCTCACTGAACTTAGGAGAATACCAAGGAAATCTCTTATGCAGGTATGTAAAAATATACATCTCATAGCAAGATTTGTATGGGTCCTAAGATATAGGCTGATAAAACATGAATAGATGTTCTCTGGCCAGAGTAGTCACCAAGGCTTCAATTTAATTTCAGGTTCTGACTGTTGGATACATTTCAGTCGTCAACTGAGAGAAACACTAAAATTGAGTCTTTTCTGTAGCTCAGAAGACGTAAATAGGTTTTGCATGCCAGTGTTTAATCAAGCTCAAATATGCAGTTATTGTTGCTTAGGAAGCAAGGGACTTTCTTTCCCTGGTTATAAGAGGCTTTTAACTGTCTCCTACAACAGCTATGTAGGACCCTCTTTTCACAGAGATATGTGATCATTCCCACTGACTAAAAGAGATTTGTTAGTAAAACAAACAGTGGATGAAATAGTACTGGTGACATTTAAGACCCTAATCATACCACAGGATTGAATGAGAAAGCAGCATAAGAATTACTTCTGAAATGCCTTGAGTACTCTCCCAAGTAACAAATGATAGGACAAGCGGAAATGGCCTCAAGTTGTGCCAGTGGAGGCTTAGATTGGATATTAGGAAAAATTTCTTTACCAAAAGGGTTGTCAAGCATTGGAACAGGCTGCCCAGAGAAGCGGTTGAGTCACCATCCCTGGAGGTATTTAAAAGACATGTAGATGTGGCACTTAAGGACACCGTTTAGTCGTGGACTTGACAGTGCTAGGTTAACAGTTTGACTCGATGATCTTAAAGGTCTTTTCCAACCTAAAGGATTCTATGATTTTTCACAATGTGAAAATTAGGTCCTCTTAAGGTATTTTATGATGGACATTCATGAATAATGAATTCCCTAAATAAGTCATCACTTTGCAATTTTCAAAGTTCATACATAAAACTAGATGTCAGTGGCAGTAAACACCCTTGCACCTGTTCTTACCTTCTATTCTTGGTAACATTCTGGTGACATTCACCAACCAATAGTTTAATTGAAACTAGAGTTACAATTAGTGTAATTCCACTCAAATAAACAGAATTACATCAGCAGTTCATTTTATTTCTTATGTTTTATCAGCTCCATGCTGGAATTACATCCACTATGTAATTCCCATGGCTGTAAACAGCCATGTTTACATCCTAAATCTCAGAACTCTTCTGATCTTCTGTTCTGTAGCTATTTCATTTTTGCACTGGTTTCAGTGATGTACAGCCAACCAAAATGCTTTCAAGTATGTACCTATGCATAGCACTTAACTGCTGCTTTGTATGATACTCACAAGAAAGATCATTATCATTCTTGATGTGTAGCCTTCAAACTTGCATGCTTTGTTCATTTCAAATATCACCTTTGAGTGATTCCTAACTACCTTTTTACATCAAGGTAAGACAGACATGGATAATTATAATCTCAAATGTGTTGCTGATTCAGTTTTTCATTATTTCTGAAGATTGTGTTCAAATAATAAATCTTAAAATCTACTGCTTCCTCCTCTGTTAGTCTTGACAAGGAACTTGAGTTAGTTAATGAAAGCAATGAAAAGGCTTAGCAGTGAGGCAGTACAGCAGCATTCCCTCTTTCTAGTGATAGATGCTACCTTTCCCCATCAGTGGTCTTTCATTAGTCATGATTAAAAGCATAATAAAAGAAGGTCTGTGATTCCTGTGATCCTGTGTTTTCACCAAGAAAAAAAAAAGTCTGTCATCCTCACCCAGCATCACTAGACAAAGATTTTAATTTGGCAAAACTAGCACAAACCAACCAACCAAAATACCTGTGTTCCAAAAGGATCTTTTGGTCACATACCCTAAATCTAAAACTTAGGTGTTTCCTAGCTTGGTTTTAATGTGAAAGATAAGCAAGAAGGCTATTCCTTCAAACACATCATGCTTTTCAATAGTCTCTGCCAAGCCAATCTCTTAAGAGGCTGAAACTGGAGAGAGCAATACAGAATAAAACCAAATTAAGTTAAAAGAAAAAGAAGACAGCTTTACAAATATACCTAGACTGAGATGAGATAGCAGATGAAATAGTGGAGGCTGCTAATGACATGTTCTTGGACCCATGGAAAGGCTTAGGCTGTGAAAGAGAGCTGGGGGCTGCAAGCACTCTGCAGGAGACACAGTAAAAGCATGAAAGCATGTACAAAATAATTTAACAGGGACAAAAATAGTGACATCAGAATCAAGCTTTGTTGGAGTTCAGATACAGGAGGACCGCTGCATAGTTACCAGGAACAGGTTTTCTGTAGCATACATCTGCAGACTTACAGAATAGCACAACCAAGCACATTCCTACAGAACACAAGACAAAATGCACACATTATGTAAAAATCTTAAAACCAGAGTCTGTTGATAACTAAGACAGACAATATTTCAGGACAGGACTTTTGTCAACGATACATGTTTTTATCTGCAAGATCTGAAGATGTTTGAGTCTGAATTGAAGCTAAATTTTTTAATATGGAAGCAGTACCAAACAAAAGATTCTCCTATTTAAAACACAAGTCATTGGCATGCTTAGTTTAGTAGAGGCATTTATTTTTGAAGCATATATTAGATAATCCATTTTCTTCATGTTACAGTTTCAGCTGTGGGATAAAGATTACTTGAACCATAGCATTATTTAATGTGAAAGTGCCTTACAGCACAGTTCTGAATTACAGAATAATACCTTATTCAAACCTCCTTTGCCCACTGGATGATTGATTTTCTTGTACTGGAATAAAAACAGTCACTGGAGTCCGGTAGGTCATGGTTAGGTAAAAACTGAATAAAGTGAAAAACTAAGTAGCTGGCATACATAAATAATTTAAGTCAAGTGGCAAAAATTAAACAAGAAGTAGAGCCAAGAGAAAATTTCCAATTCCATTTACACAAATCTAAGATATGACAGACTACATCTTAGGTCTCAATTATTTAAAGCAGTTTACGTTACTGGAAGCGTGTTTTTCCTTGGATTTTCAAAACATGCTAAAATATACATCTTTTAGGAATATTCATGTAGCAAATAACAAAGCTAAAAGAATAACATGCACCAAAGGAATTTACTCTTACTACTTCCAAAACTACTATAATGTAAGTGACAGCAGTATAAATCCCACATATTTCTTCACAGACTGTCTGTCAGCTTTTAATATGCAACTCCTACTGTAGTCCCAAGTGTTATGAATGCATACCTCCTTGAAACTCACTTTAGCTCTATAGCTAAATCTCAGTAGAGGAAAGAGAGTAGATAAATCTAATAGGAATTAATTGACTTAATACCTTACAGAGCAAGTCAATAATCAAATATGTGGTTTTACTGACATATTGCTCATTGTCCACCATGTTTTACTGACATCTGCTATGATATGGTAAGCTCAATCATGTGAGTAAATGACATTTTCTAATTTTCCATTTCATGTCATACTGCAGAAACACTATTAAAAGAACCTTCATTCAACCACTGTAACTACTATGAGGAGTTGTTTTGGTTTTATTACAAGTGGTGAAAAAACATTTCTAGTTTTAACCCTAGACTTGCTTTCTGAAAACATAAGCTGTATTGCAGACTTAAAGCTACATCTTTAGGGCAGTTTTATTTTGCAAATTCTTTGCAAACAAGAACAACGTACTTCAAAATAAGAAAACACACCAAAATGTAGAAAAGCATATAAAATAGGCTACAGGTTTTACATACTACATTCTTAAGTTAAGAATGTGTATGCAGCCTTTCCAGAGCCATACAGGGGTGTATTTGCGAAAGGACAAAGCAATGAAGCATTACCTTTGGAAGGAGGACGAGAAAGACTCTTGCGCTACTGAGGTGGTTGCTGGTGGTGTCATCAGACTGGCTGTATTTTGAGCAGCAGAAGCAGGCTGATGTGCTGAAGCATGTGGTGCAGGAGCAGAGGCAGAACTGGTAGACACCGGAGCATGCTCGACAGGGGTACTAATTAGAGTTAAATTAAATAAACAAGAAGCATCTTCAGAAGGTGCTTATTTAAAAGTAGAACATAAAACCTACTATGTTTGAACCTGAAGCTGCAAACATAGTAGCAGGCTGTGTTACTGAGAGAAAAGCACAATTATGCAAAGAAAAAAAAAAAAGACATTTGTTAGGCCTTTTTGGATGTGCAGTTAAGACTGTAATGCAGTTTTGGTCCTGCTTGACTGAAATTTATCCCAGGTGTTATACACACTTAAGTCCTGCTCCCACTGAAGCCAGTGGTAGGAAACGTGGCGTGCAGTACTTAAACGGTTGCAAAGAGTCTGTCACAAACTCTTTGAACTTGGATAAATTTCATCCAATATTTACTCCTAGAGCTGAAGTTTATGTTAGGAGTAAACTTTTTAATTAGATGAAGAAAAGCAATTTAAAGGATATTATCATAGTCCTGTATCAGCAGGTTTCCTGCAAGTTCTGATAGTCTAGAAATCCAGTCAGCTTAGTTTTGTGTTGAGTTTAATCAGTTTTGTGCAACACAGGTAGTGGAAAGATGTTTAAAAGGAGTCCATTCATCTCTGACCTAAATTCACCTTACATTACACTGGCCAACCCATCAAACAATAAGATGCCTTTTTACACATAAAAGAGTAAGCAAAATACAAGGGGAAGATGTTGCATAAAATTTTACTACACCAGTTTTAAAACCACTTGGGTGATGAACAGGAGTTGTTATCCATGTGGCCCTCTCACGCTATTGTGGCACAGATAACATGGAGCAGAGAAATATTAACATTTAATTAATTTTCTCTTTATTTGATTGCAAAATAGAGTAATTGAAATTAATAATAACAATAAAAATCTAGTCTCATATCCTGTGGCCATTTTAGTAGCCTACAGAACTACTAGTGTCTTTCATCACCTGCTATCAGAGCACCCAGTGCTCATTAACATATTTCAGCCTTGCAGCCTCACTCAAATTTGGAAAGTATTACTTATCTCTTACAGATAGACAAATGGGGCAAAGTTACCTATTAGACAGCTTTGCAAGATAGTTTAGTCAAAGCCATCCACTGCTAAGAAATGAACCAATCTTTTGGAGGTTCAGTTTATCGTCTTCCACTAGCTCTTACCTCAAATGAAGAAAAACAAAACAAACCAAATCATTAAGTGGACATACAAGATTCAAGTTCTTTGCTGACTGTTTCAATGAACTTAATATCAACAAAAGAATAATAATATGTACATTCATTATTCACTTGTCAATAAACCTAAAAAAAATCACTAGGTCATTTAAAATTAAAAGGGGGGGGGGGGGATTAAAAAAAAAGGGAGAAATAAGAAAAGAAAAAAGCTTGATTTTGTGTTCAGGCAGATCTTACTGTGGATTTTATTAATTATTATCTACAGAACAAATAAGCCAATGAAAAATAACTAATTGCAATTTGATTTTTTAGATTATTACACTATTTTGGGGCACAAACTTTAGTGACAGTATAAGCATATGTCCCCCAGGCATAAGAGACATTTTTCTTGATGCCATATTATTGTGCTGTAGATTAATTTTCTTTAGTAGTTATCCTAATACATCTTTTTTTTTTTAAATCAGGGCATTACTGTACATGACATAGTTGTATACGTTTCTTGTATAAGAAAATAATGGATATATTTTTACTTCTTTTGACCTAACTGATTAAGTATCCTGCCACATCTCTGGGTTCTTACAAACGACTCCTATCAGGGTGATGGAATTCGGCGATTCTCTTGTGCAACGTACAAAGAATGCCCAAAATATTCTTTCCTGAGCACAGTAAGTATTAAATAACAAAAGAAAGCTTACAGTTCCACAACTGTTTTTCAGCTGAACCTTAGCCCTCAAACATTCTTTCTCTCAGCCTTTTTTCCTATGCGAGTTTGCCATTGTGCAAATATTTTTCTCTTTCTTTCAGCCATTCTAATATTTTCTTTTGCTTCTCTCAGAAGCACTGATTCAACAAGTTATACTCCTCAGGACCTTGAATGAGTGCTTGATACTTCAGAATTTGTGATGCCCCTTGCTCTTCAAGGGACTGTCCCATTTCCCCTGTCCTCCTCCACCTTCTTGTATGGTTTAGTAGTCTAAATGATGGTGTCTTATTTCAGCTGAATATTTTACTGCTTGATTAGCTGAAATGGAAGTGTGGTTGTTATGCTCATCAATTTCAAAGTTGAATGCAACCCACAACAAAAGCAGAAAACCAGTATTTTCTCTCTTATGAGTTTCATCTGCAATTCTATACATAACAAGTGAGATCTTGAAAATACTCATCCTGTTTGCAATTCTAGTTTTCAAATCATTACACCAAAAGTTTTGCAACAGTTTTGCAAAAGTTTGTCCATCATAATATGCATTTAAAATTCAGATCAGTTCTTCCATCTTGATGCATTTGCATTATGATGTAAATTCTTCCACTTAGCTAATACAGTATCAATTACATAGACTATGTAATAGAGTAGCTGTATATTATATATCACTGCTATGCATCACGAGCTAGTCTGTTACCGAGTTTTAATACTCACAGGATTTTTTTTGCAGTGGGTACTGGAATTGTCACATTAAAAGTTGTTGAGTCAAAATTTACTACTTAACATATCTTTAATTTGGTAAACAGGAAAGGACTGAAACTATACTTCACATAAAAATAGAACTTAATATATGTCCTAAAACCAAACACAAACTAGGATTTCACCTCTTCTGTCTCTATTTTCACTGATGTGAAAGGGAATTTGCTACAGATTTCAAAAGAATCAAGACTCCATACCTTAAATAAAAGAAAACAGTGAAGTTACTTAATCGTAATGATCTCCAAAATGTTAACCAAAACACATACTCAGTAATATATATTTGAAAGAAAAAAAAAAAAGAAAACATAAGAATATGCATAGACACGGATCTCTGTGGAGACAGATTTGAACTAGACAAACACATATAAATAAAATAAATGCAAATATACTGGAATACCTTATAAAGCATAAAATAAATACAAACAAATTTTATCTTGCATGCTGTTTGTAACAGTTCTTTTTATGTCATCAAAATGTTAGAAGCTTGATCACCTTCCTGCAGGGTAGACTATATTAAGTAACAAAACAAAGAATTGGAATAAATATAAACGATGTAGATATAACCTTAAAAGTGAAGGTGAGATCTGGTTACATAAATTATAGCAGTTGGTAACTAATTCTCTATTCAGTTTTATAGAAAGAACTTGGACTAACTTGACTGTTTTTAGTTACACCACTACAAACTTTAAATAATTTTATTTAGATATTCAAATACAATAATTTTTTCTTAAGATCACCTCCTTTCTAGATTTTAAATCTGACTTTTTTTTTTTTTTTTTTTTTTTTTAGTTCTTCAGGTGCAGAGTAATTTTAAGAACTGATAAATGCAAATGCTGCTTTATCAGGCAGATCATCTATTATAACAGCTTCGTTATTATATATTTTATGGAATTGTTTTTTTGGTGTTTTTTTTAATACAGTCATTCTTTATGCTTTTAATTTTACAGTATTTTGTATTTTAAGGAAAATCAAAGGAAATGGATGTTCTCAAACATCTCCATATTTGTGGTAACAAATAAACATAAAATGCACAATGTGAGTAAGTTACGTGGAAGAAAAGCAACACACATATCTCTTTTCAGCTGATTTTCACCCATGAAAAGGAACACAGATCAGCAGAGGTTAAGAGGATAATAATGGTTAACAACCATAATGAGAAAACACAGCAAGAAACGCACTCTAACATTAAAAAAAATAAGCGCAGATTACACTTCTTTCTCTCAGTAAAGTCCTGAGACTTTCTGTCCAAATAACAATTGAGTGGATTATTAAAGCAGTACTTAGTCTCCTTTGTGTAATACATGAAGTTCTTTTTGTTTCAAATCCTCCAACAGATCTCTTGTAAAGAATTGAAAATATAGGGAACAAAAATAAAAATGAATAGGCAAAAATTATCTCTTATTGTAGCACTTGTAGAAAAAAAGTGCTGGAGAAGGTGTTTAGAGCAAGACATAACCTGTAAGAGTTTTGCATTTGAATATGGGAATGTTTGTAAAAATACAGTGAATAGTATCAGCTGCTGTTTCTCTGCAGAAGGTGCTTAATGACTGTTGTCTCTGTATTGTAGGTGCGATCCTTGAGAATGCCACTTAAAATGTCAAACCCACATGAACTAGGAGTTGCTGGAATTTGTAGAACTTAGACACTTGCCTTGTAGGCAACGGGCATTTCCGTCTGAAGGAGTTAGAGTTTGTTATTGCCAAACCATTCCAAAGCTCCAAACGAGGTCAGTTACGCAGTTACACATCACAGTGTACCTTTGTTTACTAGATGAAGTAAGAGGGACTTTCTGGCCAGTCGTGATGAAACTGGCCTCCCCCTGACTTGTACCCGCTCCAAGCCTCACAGACCCCTTGGAAGCCACTGGCTTAGCATTGTCAGTGTTGGCATCCATGGTGCATGATTTAGGAGGATGCCAAATACTTGAGGTCACATACTGTGGCGCATGCGGAGTAGCTGCAGGCCTGGGTAACAAAGATTACAAGGGGATTTGTAAATGATGTATTTATTATCACGTCACCAATTTCCCAGGTGACAGCAGGTATTTGACAGAACTCCAGCCACAGAAGCAGCTGATGGTTTAACAGAAAAAGGCTTGTTTGATTTTTTAGTGGTCAGAGATACATGTGCTTACTGCCTACTACAGCAAAGAAAGCAGCATTTTAGAATGCCGATACCTGGCCCTTTAAGACAGCAGTTATTATTTATATGGAGTAAAGCCTTCAGAAAAAAAAAAACAAACCAAAAGTGCTGAACCTCATAACTGAAAAGATAAGTCCAGGTTTAATAATGAAGGCTTTATTTTTCTGTCTTTTCCTTTTCCTGGAAGAAGATTTATATCTGTAAATAGCCAGTGTCCTCTTTTTGTATCGCCAAATTCCTTATACCATAGGAGATCATCATGATATTGCAGATGAAGTCATGACAAATCTTGATAGCTTATTAGTTTATTACTGCTTAAGACAGGAAAGGCTTTAAGAATTAAAAAGGTACCTTGTGTTAAATCTGGAAATCATATTGCTAGGAATATCAAAATGGGACACAGAGCAGAGCTGTGATGATAATGGAGGTGGAAAAAAGCTCTGGTATGACAAACCATGCAAGATTAAGGCAATGTAGTATGACACTAACACCAGTCATACATCAGAAATTGTTCCTGGGAAAATAAAATAAAATAATAATAATAAAAAGGAGATTTCAGTGGAGCAGCTGCATAGTCCTGTAGATGATGTTACACAAATGAAACTGCTAGTGAAATGCTAACGTGTTTCTTTTTTTTTCAATTTAATTTATATACAGTTATACAGGAATCAAGGGGTTTAGTTCATTCTCTTGACATAATTAATTTAAAAAATAAAAATCAATTTTCCCTACTGTTCCAAGTGCCAGTTCCCATTGCTTGTGTCATTGGTAATGATAATGCTCACACTTGGATTTTAGCTCTATGCAACCTTTGTTGAAATGTAAGCAGTCTCATAAAAAAAAAAAGAAAAGTGGTTGCATGTTGTTTAGGCAGAAATCAACAAGACAGAGGAAAGCAGTGAGATAGAATTCTTTTCATGACAAACTAATAAAAGGCATTTCTTTGCTCCATTAAACATTGGTCAGATTCACTCAGGAAGTACCTGTGTTTCAGTACTTGTGTGTTTTAGTATCTGAACTAATAGAAAACAATACATTTCTATTATGTAACTGCAAAATGTGTTGAGATTCTTTGGGAGAAAACAACTTTTGACTGAAAGAATTTACTTACAGAGATACTGTTTTGAACCTCATAAACCATCAAGGATTAATAAAGATATGCAAGAATCTGATATATAAATGTTCTTAAAACCAAAAAGATAATCTTATTTGGATTTCAAAAACATCTTGAACAAACTAGACAAAATTTAAAGTGGAAATTGTTCTTAAAACTCCATCACAAACTGACAATACTCCATTTCAAGAACATTTGATAAAAGCTTCTTATTTTTCAGGTTTATAAGTTCCAAGAAATGTGATCCCTACCTGCCCCATCTCACAGAGCTTTTTGAAGACTACAGTAGAAAGAAATGCCTAACAAACCCACTTAGTTGAAACCTCTACATTCATCATCTGCTCAGTGTACAATTTTTGTGTTTTTGAGGTAAGACCAATATAGGGAAAGCAGAGGTAAACTCTGAATAGGAGGTAAGCCAAACACACACAGCAAACATTACCTGTTTTCTGATGCTGCAGAAACATTTTCCTTATCTCTGTGAAAGGAGGGGATGATACAATATGAAAAAAGTAAATGCAATTGCCAGTGGCTGAAAAAAAAAAACCAAACAACAAAAAAACCCCAAACAAAAAAACCAACCAAAAAACCAAATGGGGAGAAAGTAGATGGGTTGAGAAGAAATGTTTGGTTGCAAAAAGCATCCTAGAGTGGTTGCTCATAAATATAGTTGTGAGAAACTCTTCAGATCTCCAAGTGAAACCCACCAAATATGCAAGTTTAGTGTATGCTTCTTCTCAGTTGCAAATAACTTTGTTTCGATATTAAAGTAAAATGAAAGAAAATTAAGTTACAAATTAGACATTGTATGTATGTATATAATTCCCGGCATAGTTTTGACTTTAAGTTCCCTCTTAAAAGAAAATGTCAAGAATATTCCAGCGGAACATATTCTGATGCCACCTCCAAGCAGTAAAAATAATCAGTCTTGGGCAGTCCTCAAGGATCCAATATTTTGAAGTGATAAGCAGTTAAATTGTTTACAAAAGACTTATACAAGATGGATTATGTATGTCTGGCATCACTTAAAAATTCTCTGTCCTATCCAAGTAAGTACTAATTTTCTCATTCTAAGTCGGACTAGAAACATGTGAAATAATTCCTTTGTTGAGGTAAGGAGTAAGTCAGCCTCAATTTCAGTGTAGAGAATTAGGCTGTTATTCTGTAAAGACACATACACGCTTACAAAAATAACTCATCAGTTTAAGTGCAAGCAATTGTGTATCTGTAGGAAGTTAAGACATAGGTATTCTCATTAAGAATAGAATCCTTTAACCTTAGACTCCTAAGTTGAAATTCAGTTAAGTAAGATAGTCTGAATAGTTAGCAATTTAGTGGCTGGTTGTGTCCTTTCCGATTTAAGGAATTGAGCTGGAATTTCAACATGTTTAAAGTTGAAGTATGCCAGATGAGAACATTTTTCTTAACTGGGATCTCGGTTTACAAAACACAAAGCAAATGTCCTCATTTACCCAACTGAACCTTCTTTCTGAAAAGTCCTTTGAAAAAAAGGAATACATGTATTAATTTATGTGGATTTGTGGGGATGCAGTCATTACCTTACATTACATTAGGAAGGCTTTTCTTAATATTTTCCACATAATTAGTAGTATTCCATATATTTCTATCTGTGTTTATGTATGCACACATACACATATGTATATAAGTACAGTCACATACTCCTTCCTTAGTTTAGCTGCAATAAAGTTCTAAAAACCAGTCCGGTTTACTTCAGCAAAGGTTTGGGCATAGGTGTTCTCTACCAATTTTTAAAACCTCTAACTAAAATGTAACCCCTAAAATATATGAATTGAAGCCAGATTTTCAAACCCAGAAGCAGATCTGAAATGATCCTCAGGTGTGGGTGGCTGACTAAGAACGCGTTTATGGTCAGAATGGAAGAACCTGTCTTGAAAGTAAATACCCCAATAAGATCAATTGGTTCACCACTCTAAAGCAATGAGAAACCAAACACTATCTTTATGGTAACCAAGCCGTGAGTTCACTGGAACGTCAGGTATAGGAAAGCCAGGATGAAACAAGATAGAGGAGGATGGATTAGAAACTGTGCGGGGGGAGGAGGGGGTGGGTGGGGTGTTTGAAGTGTTAGTATACCAAGAGGCATAATCATGCGAGAATGTTAAAAAACACAGTCACAGCCTGACAAGAATAAAGCATTGTTTATTTCCAGTGTTACCAAATATTCTATGAGAAATTACAGTCAAGACCAAAAGGCAGGCAGGTGGGGTCAGGCAGAAGCAGCGTTAGGCCTCTGTTGTTAATATTAATCTGATCCAAACTTTTCTGCTCCGCTAGCTGTGGCTATACTGAAGAACGCAGAAAAATGTCACTTGACTTTGAGGTCAGGATTTCACGAAAGCTTTTTCCATGAGTGTACAAGTATAGGCTAATGTTGAGTGACGATGGCAGGGGAGTTGTGAAGGTTAAAGAGAGAGAGAGAAGTATAGTAAACATACTTCCACAGAATAAAGCAAAGAAAAAGGCAGAGAGTAAAGGGAAAGATGAGCTCAAAGGCACACAATACTTCTTCGTGGTTTTGCTTCCAGGTACTATTTCTCTTCCCAGTGAACAGGAGTCATTCCCATTCGGCTAACAGTGAGAAAGGCTCAAGATCAGATGTGCCTCTTATGGGCAATACTCGCATTTTGAGGAACAGACTATTGGACTTCCAGCCTTTACAATCAAACATTTTTTGCTAACTAAATGCAGAATTATTTTTACTTTTGAGTCAAATACATCCCTGGGGCAGGCTCAGTGAAGTTGATACCTTCACAACATGAAAGAATTTGGCTCAGAATATTATGAGCAGTTTGTATCTCTGTGGCTACACTGGCTGCTCAAACAACTGACAGTAGTAGATAGTAGTTTTCAGCTATCTGGGAGAGATTTAATACTAATGGTTTTTTTGTCTGCAGCCCTTTTAGTCTCCAGCTGGAACGGCTTTTGATAGAAAGGCCTTAGTCAATGACTGTTCTGAGAGAACAGTGCAACTCTCACAGATTTTATTAAATATTGGACATATATCTCAAAGAAGATTTATTTATGCAGTATACCATCTTCCCAATTACACATTATATTATACAATAGAAATTATGAAATGTTTCCTTCTCATAAAAATACGCTACATGATAGGGTCATAAAGACAGAATGAATGAAATGATAGAGTCTTTCCCTCCCACACACTAGCAAGAATTATAATAGTTTGAGTAACAAAACGTAAAACTCATTTGCAAGCCAAGCTTGTGTGTGCTATTGGATCCTAAAAAGAGCCTGAAGAAACTTCAGACTTTCCAATAAGTGAGTCTGAACTGTATGTACTGGACATTGGAATACTTTCCTATTCTATTTTATTTTTGGAAACCAAATGTAAAATATTCCCAAACAAACATGTACGTGTAACAGGTGACCTGAGATGTGGAGCTTGTGCACCTTCCATCTACCTTCTCCTTGGAGAATAACAGATCTAGATTCTCTCTCTTGAATAGCTCCTCTCTGTTCCATTAAAGTGTTGTAGAGACAGAATCATTTAACTGTAATGAAGATCTGATGACATAAGGAACACTAGGCATCCTGAGAGACCACATGGTCCTTCAACTCTTCCCTGTCTTTCAGAACTGAAGCAATAAGTGAATACTATAAGTGATTTTTTTTCCTCCATATTCTCATGGAGCAAGACTATTTTTCTCATTTTACAGATGAGGAACTAAAACTTAACAGAATTGCTCACAGTCAAAAAGAAGGTCCACAGTAGGGCAAAGAACTAAAATAAGCCCTCCTGAATCCCAACTGAGTAGTTAAAATATCAGCTCACACTCTTTAATAAGAGATTATGGATTTTTAAATAAATATTACTATTCAGTTTATCAGTATTTCCATGTATTTATCATCCAATAGCCTTCTATAGAACCTGACAGATATATACTGGCCTTTTATCAAAGATTAAATAGGTATTAAGACTTACAGATTACAATTAAAAATTCTGTTTCTCTAGTAGGATATTGTGGATTTCCAGGACTTGTTCTTATTAGACATATAATAGCGTTCATCCTAACATGTACTTATATTTACATAAACGTATTTGCCTACAAATAAATTTTCCTTTTAAGAAGTCACAAAAGAATTTAAAAACCCCAAAACTTATAGGGTGTCTGGAACTAAAGTTGTGTGAAAGCTATTTCATAATTGCCTTCCAAACATTTTTGTCTCAAAGGCATGAGATGCTGACGCTGTTGGAAACTGGACATTGAGCTAGATTAGCTGCTGTTCTGTTCCAATGAGGCTATTCCTACCTTTCTGTGTTTGCAGCTGAGAATTTTTCCATGATCAGATAAATACAAAATTATTGCGATTGTTTGTCTTTTTTTTTCCCCCAAGCTATATTTTGTTATTTTAACAAAAGACACCATAAGACACACAAAGAAATCATAGGCAGTTAACTGAAGAGGACAGAAGACAACTATCATGCTGGTTTAGTTAAAACTTCAGCTGAGGATCAGAAAACAGGGGTAGAAGAACTAGTCTCTCTTTTTCAGCCACTGTAGTTAAGAATGTGAGCAGCCCACGCCAAAACAATTGCAATATATCCTACTAGTATGTCTGCTTTCCAAAACAGGGAGATACATTTCTCCCAGAAGGTATCCTGGTTTGTGCAGACAGTGCCACAGAATAGGAAAAGCATTATCATATATTCAGTGGAAGAAAAAACAACCAGCAACTCATTCTCAGCAAGTAGTGTGGAACTCAAAGCAGCTCACTAAACCCAAAGCAAATACCTTCTGTGGATGCATTTTAGTGGCATCTACTGGTATGCTGTTATATTTAACAGTCAAATAATAAACACAGCTGGAAAGACAGCAGCATCGGTGTTGGTGAAAGTTAAGATAACTCTTTTCCAAGACCGACATAGTGGTATTGGGCATGCAAGTATATGTACTCCAATTTATCTTATTGGTAAACACATCACTTTAATAAGAACAAAGACTGCAAAATTCTAAGTATGTGGAGCAATTTGAGCTGGGCTATATTTCAGATAATTATTCCCTATCTTGGCCTTAAGTGTGCAATTGGATTTACCTGAATGGTTCCCTCTAGCTTTTTGTAGTCCCCCTGGTAAAGCGCAGGTATCTGCCACCAGGCGCCTGAACACAGGATCCAGTTTTTCAGTTTGTATTTGTGACTATTATAGACAAAACCAATGCACAACAAGCTTAGGTATTGTACACCAGCAAATTATTCCCCCTTCACTGAAGCATTCTTTCTCATCATGACTTCACTTTTCTCCAGGGAAGCCAAGAGAAGAACAAGAACCCGTAGATCTCAATTTCAGCTGGTAGTTTTTTAGAGCTACTTTTTAATTTGTGCACACCGATGATATGAAAATTCATACTTTCTCTACATGGTATTATCCTAAGTTTGAAGCTGCATCTGAAATAGACTAATGCGTCTCTTCTATTCGGT